ATGTACAGCCTGCGAACGTTAATGGTGGAGCAAAGGAGCCGAAGTCGGGCTCATCCCGCCCTCCTGGCACAGCCACGCCTGACCGCGACGTTAGCTCCATGCGAACGATACAAGGCGTGTGAAGTGAAGTGAACACAAAGCCTAGCCAGGACAGCCTTTCCAGCGAATCGTTTCTGAGTTCAGGCATGGTACTGATGTAGAGGTCAGCAGCGGAATGCACTCACTCCGCTTTCACGTGCGACCCTATTGTTTCCGCGAGGTCATCACTGCACCTTGCTCGCAGGCAGTTATTAGGGTGTCCGGAAAGCTTTGAGAAATTTCGACCAGTTCATTTAACGCCTATCAACAACAATAAGGATAGGAGTTTCATACTTATACTAGACATTGTCCATCCTATTTCCCTTACCTTCTGGGCGGGATTACTTCGCGTGGGAGTTAGAATGAAGTGAGTACCGTGCATGCGGGAGCGTACGCAAGAATCCGAGCTAAACTTCCATTACTGTTCCATGTGAGGACCGATTGATCCCTTGCTACAGACACGCTTTGAAGCGTGTTTTATCCAGCACGGTGACGGCGCCTTATTCCCGATGTGACCGATAGAGCAGCCAGAACGGTGAAGATGAAGTAGAAGGCGTTGAGAGTCGTGTGCGCTCGTTCATTTTTCAGGTGATGTGTAGTCATACCAACCATGGAGAATAACACCAGATTGATCTACAGACATTTCTTTTGTCATAAGCACTTGATGTACGCCTTTATGTTGGGCCATTTTGCTTGCTAAACTTCTTCAAAACTGTAAAGCGCGAATTTTCTCAAAACTTTCCGGACAACCTAATAGTTCTGAGCAGCACTACAGAGATAAAAGTCACTTTGAACATAGTCATGCGCTGTGGACGAAGAGCATATTCAGGCGGGATGAGTTTGGCACTGTGCCAAACCCGTTCTCCACCACTTATTGAAGAAGCAAGTGATAAGCTCGTATAATACTGTTTGTATCACTCATTTTCTACCAGTTACGTTAGATTACTTTCAGTGACCTGACAGAAGATACTGAGTTTGGCGCCGTGGCACGCCCTGCTGCCTGACACACCCCCATTCACCCCGCGTAAACTAGAGATAACTAGAATTGAGTGGAAGATACGGTAGAAACGCAGCTGGCGCCAAGATGAGGCTCGTGTTTCCTCAGCCGGTGATTTTCGACAGTGGAATCTTCTCGAAAAGAAATGAAAGGGCACCACTTGATGACAGTCTTGGGACTTCTTGAACTTTGCGGCTCTAACTCCTCTATCCCCTCTATCTCCTTTCACTGAGAAAACAGAATTTTGCGCAAAGGCGACGATAATCCGATGGATCCTTTGATGCTTCTCGCTGCTGACTGACTCTCCGTTGGAGCAGCCGCAACGATGGTATGCCCCAGGGTGCAGCATCGTGATGTGTGAAATGTGGTGTCAGTACGACCCTTTCCCCCCCCCCCTTTCCCCAGCATCTTCCTACCACTTATTCACTTCCTGCAGTTCCCAGCTTACCTAACAGTTTTTTTTGTCAGTCTCTCAAAATGCTCGTCGAGGGGCGTTGGAGTGATGAACGGGAAAACTTGGAGAAATCAACAACCGGGGAATTTTTCTCCGAAGCGCAATTTTTCTTTAGAGGGTATCATATCGACCTCTCGCACCCTCTCCAACGGCCCAAGCGAACCAAGTACGAGTACCCCTGTGTGTTTCACACAACGATGCTGTATCCTGGTGTGCCCGGGCTCGAAAAGCTGGAAAGTAACAACAAGCAAAGAGATTGCATTGCTTGAAAATCACAACTGAAAAGTTTTTAACAGCCTTTGCGTCACTAGATATTTATCGCCTGCTTGTTTTGCCAAGCCATGAACTGCTTCTATTTATAGTTACTCCGCCTTCTAACATTTAACCGTACCAACCCAGAACTGCTTCACTATTATCTGAGCACAATCCCAGATTAATGGAAACTGAAGCAACTCATATGAGGGATTTCAAAATTCACGCAGGCCTAATGAACTTTAAAATGAAATCTGGACGTTGTCAGAAGTGTCATTTTCCTCTCGATTGATAGTTTCTTTTTCAGTGGTCACTCCGCTCCACTCTTTATGACTAAATGCAAAATCCGTTTCTAGTTATTACCCAATATTGTGTTGTCTCTGAAATATTCATCTTCAATATTATCGGAATTTTCGGTAACATTCAGCTGCTTTGGACGACATATCGGAAGAACGCAGCGCAAACTAAATCAGGTACTTAATATTGTGCTAAGATTTTGTACATTCCTAAGACATTTCGATTTTCCATCGCCTTGAAAAACTTCGTATGTTCAGATTTTCTCAGCAGCCCTAACACTTACAATTAGTGAGTGCGGCTGTCCCTGATTGGCCAGGGCACATCGCTGTTGGGGAACCCCCAATAGGGGGGTCGTATTTGGTCGCCAGGAGGGGGGTAGTGCTTGGGTTTGGAAAAATTTTATTTTGATAATTGATTTTTCTCGCTTCATGGACGTTGTAAAGTGAGGGGGAGTCGTACTTAGTTAATTTTTGGAGGGGGGGGGGGTCGTATTTACTGTTGGCTGTTGTGAGAGTGGCGGTTGACTTTTGGTGGATTTTCTCTGTTCACGTACAATCCCCATCCCGCTCGGATCGGCTCTGATTCGATGACGAATGGCGAGGAAGACAGAGGGCTCGGGAGGGGGTCTGTACCAACCAAAAAGGGGGGGGGGATCCGGTACGCAACCAAAAAAGGGGGGGATCGTAAATATGAGTCGACCTAAAATCCCCATAACCAATGATGTGCCCTGTACTGATCGTTTCTGATTTTTTTTTCTTTGTCATTTATGCTACAAATTTGAAGTTTGAATCCAGTAAGGGCTAGTGCTTTTTAAACAAAATAAAAGGATCCCCACAACAGGCGCTCAAGGTGTTAGTTTTGAATAAAATCGGTATCCCCTCATTTTCCTGCGGGGAGGGGTGTCGTACCTGGCAAGAGCTCAGCAAAACAGCCTACGACGTTCTAAGGGGAGGCGCTAGCGTCAGGAGGGAATGTGGGGGGGGGGTAATGCAGTACACATGAAGGAAAATCCACGAAAGTCAGCAACCGTCGTCTCAGAGGGTCAGAAGGGAAATAAGACTACCCTCCCCTACTTCCCAACTTTCTAGCCAATACGACTCCTCCTGCCCGCAACATCCCTGAAACAAGTATATCAACTATCAAAAAAATTTTTCTCACCCCAAATACGACCCCTGTTGGAGAATCCCAACAACGATGTGCCACGCCGCGGGATGCCTATTTGGCATCGCTGTCCGCATTCGCAGAGAATATGTCACATTCGTCACTCGGAACGGCGAGGTAAAGAAGCCAGAGACGCGTGATAATTGCAACCATTGCAACCACGATCACTTTACTCTGTACGACAACGGCCTTTTTACAAGCGAACTTGCCGCGTGTCTAGCGTTGCTGATAACGTCGTGGGGGGTTTGTCTGTGCTCGAATTGGTGCAATGGTCGAGTATGCTGTTATGGCTTGCCCACGCCCGACAACTGCGTCTAACAATTAAGAATAAGGCGCCTGCACAACTGCTAGGATCTCCTTTCTGAGTGTTCACGGGGTTTTTTTTCGCTTTTTTCTCTACTGGGGAGTTACTTATGGGCTACTGTGATTGAGCATCTACTACCCGTTGCTCTTGATGGCGGCATTTGTCTTTACCGTTTTTCATTTTTCAGAATTTTCATATTGAAGGATCCGAGCACCTCCTCACTTTCACATCTTGTCTGATTTCATAACGAATGACAACTAATAAATAACACATCATAATTGAAAATGCGGGCCTGTAAATCTTTGTATCACAGGAACAAGTCCCTTGTCAGCAATGCCTGATCGCAGTCGATTGTTTGTAAGTTACTTCGCAGGGGATCGGGATATATTCATTTTGAGACAACTGATCTTGTTTCTGGCTGTGGACGAGAGGCATGAAAAACAATGTTTTAAAATGATAACATCGCATTTTAAAGTCATAGCCACGCATGTAGTCTGAGTACGCAGCCAAGCCTGTCGCCCTTCATTATTTCAGTATACTTTTCACCATTGTGGTGGTTCACTAGCTGTACATGCGATGAATCTTATGAATCTGATAGTTGACAAGATAGCTGTACCGACCCCAGCGTAGTCCAACGTCCGTTTTTTGATGTGCTGCTAGTGAGAATGAGTGCTTGAAAACGTGGATTTTCAGGAATTCTACTTGCTACGAATGCCTGCAATCACTGTATATGTCTTCTATCCGAAATAGTAAACGCAGTTTTTATTTTATCCGATCAACCATTCACTAGACGCACCTGTTATTCGTTTATTGCGCTCTATATTTTGCAATGTGCCAGCAAGCTTGCCATATAACGCTTAATTGAATTTCGATTGATTTAGGTGCACTCGTATTTCTAAATCTGGTATCGAACCATTTCAATGGAAAATGTTTGCATGCGCACAAATTGAAGGCAGAACCCGCGATTGCCAGTGGGCACCTTGGTTTGAAACGAAGTACTCAACGAACTAAGAAGCCCAAATAGAAGAAAAAAAGCCAAAAACCTTGAGTAGGTGAAGATACTCGCTAGTCCTCAGCATTAATGTAAATTATGTTACAGCACACTGGCGAGGAGACTGTAGGGAGAAGCCTCAAGTGGTTGAGACGCCACTGCGTGGATGATGATCATGGAGGCGGAGTATACTTATCGTGGAAGCGCCGCGGCGTCCTTATCAAGTAATTTGAATTTGCAATGGCCAATCTTTATTGGTTGCCGACACGACACCTGTCAGGGAGAGCTTCTGCTCGTTTGTAATCGCGGACTCTGTCTTTTAATGCAAAAGGTGTTTCTACACGTACGAGACATCCGACTGAATTGTTCGGAGTTTAGGTATCGCATGCAGCCCATAAAACCGTATATTTCCCTTTCCATCGTTCTTTGTACATGTTATTCCATTCCTATAGCCGCGTGGGGATGGATGGCACAGGATGATGAACTTATTCCTTTCTGCAACCCTCCACTAGGTATGTTCTAATGTAATTTTTGAGTTTTTTTTTGCATGTTTTTCCTTTGAGCTGGTATGACGATATGGCCGCAAACGTGTATCGACTGGCGTCGCCCGCGTGTGTGTTGAAATAGTATGGGATAACAGGAGGGTAGGCGCTGTTTATACACACAGTCTGTCATCGATGGCCGCCAAATTCTAGTGAGTTGGAAGAGTTTAGGAGGATAGGAGGGTAGCAGACTGAGGTCAGCGTCTACACTGCTGATCGAAACTCGTCAGCGGCTGTGTACCTGTTTGGAGTATTGAAGCGTCATTGCAGTGGTAAGCACCTACAGCGCGTTACAACGCGTCGACGCGAAGTCTGAACGCTGTCTTCTTGAACAAAAAAAAACGCGTTGGCCTGACGCTCGCACCACAAGCGCGGCGACAAAACTGGTCGAAGGAAAAACGTCCGAGAATAAGTTTCGATCGAAATCCTGTCTGCATTTGAAAAGGGGGCAGAGAAGGGTTACTTCAAAAACTATTAGGTTGGCGGGAAAGTTCTGTCACATTTTTTCAAATTAGACTTTCTTTTTACAGAGAGGCGTACAAGATCAAAATTATACAGCAATGTTATTGAGAGATCCTTGCCAGTTTTTGGACAGTTCGTGGATGCCATCGCTTAACAATGCGACGCAAAGTTGGACATCATCTCAACTTGGGCTCAAGTCGTGGAGGTTTTCTCGGCTGTATAACGGTTGAATACGGGAGGCGACTAGCAGTCAGAAAGAGCAATGTCTGGACTACACCGGTGCAAGGGGAGAGCCATCCAGCTCTATTGCATGAAGTACGGCTCGAACTTTTTTTGACGGGGTGTGCTGCACCAGCACGTTGAAGACGGACTGTGCCGATTTTGCCCTCTGCTTGACGATTTCGCTTCAGATCTCGTAGCTGCCTTGCGTACGGATTGACCGAGGAGGCAGCTTCTTCATCCAGTAGTTTCCCGACCCACCGCTATCTAGAGCTGAGTTTACAGGTACTCCCGAACCTCACTTCGTCATTCGCTCTGAAGAGCTAGCGTCGTGGAAGATTGTCTGATGACTGTAGACATTGTCCTTGTGCAGCTCCATTATTTCGGCGTCGACAGCTGCCATGCTGGCGCCAGGGTGGTAGAAGAAATAGTTTAAGGAAGCGCTTGAAGGGGTCGGTGCTGAAGGTAGCGGATAACATTCTTGTCCATAATGCAGAATAAGGATGAGCAGGAGCCGAGTCACATTACCGGTTAGCCCTCTTCAGGTAATAGGCGAATACTTGGGTTCAAAAAAGTATGACAGAACTTTCCGCCAACCTGATACATATTACAAAACACTGGTAGTTCAGACCCATGAAGTCAAGTTATTTTTATTGATTACAGGTCTTGCACCAGCACCCACTCGCTTTCTGATCTTGTCGAACAACTGCATTAGTTGTCTTGTCGTTCTTGTATATATAGCTATCATCATTTTCGTTAAGACAAAAGGTATTTTTTGTTTATTCACTTATTTACATTTTAATTCCTTGCTGAAGGACACTAGATGGTGCGCTGCATATGTAGTACAATGAGTCAAACTAATGATGTAACTGACATAGTTGCTAACAGCGAAGCCGGGCGCTATTCCCCTCAGGAAGAGAGGGATGAGCGAATTTCTGCAAGTTCTTGTCAGCGGGCCAGGGGAACTTTGGAATTTTTGTTCCTTGGATCGTTGCAAACAGGGCATATCGTGATAGGCCAATGCACGGTGAGATCCGTACAAAGGGGCTACATGACATGTACGACTTTTGATGCGTCCTGGCGCGAAAGGCCAGATCGCAGCGAAGTTGAGCACTGCAGCTGCTCTACATCGAAAGGTGTAGGAAAGCATGTCACATACCATGGTATGAGTTTTTCAGAGGGAAGAGACTCTGGATCCACCGATCCAGACTTCACTGACCATGTGTGACAGTGTGCGATATGTAAAATACAGTATAGTGTAAGGTATTGTAGCGTTATGTGATGTGTGTAAGACAAATTATATTAGCCTCACAGCTAGTTCTTAATTATTATATGGGGCCAATAAAAGGACAAAATAAGGAATAAAGACAGAGCGATCACAGAATGCCAAGCAGATATGAAAACGCAGAGAAAAACAGAAGGTAGGAACAGTCAAAGGGATTCACTTCATACTGTTCATAGACTCCGCAAAGGGTAGCCCGTGCGACGGAGTGAGCATCGGAGCAATGGGCAACAATTGACGGGGAGGCGCTGCTTTCGTTGCAATCCAACTCGCGCTTCTACTCAAGCCCTATCGTTTGCGGGGATCAGGAATACAATATCGTACTAACCAATAGGAGCTGTGTCAGGTTTGGGGCTCTCACAGAGCCCTTCCTGAGTGGATCACTCTGGAGGGGCTCTGTGAGCCCGCTCAGGAAGAGAAGAGACCAGGTTATGCTGATATCAAAAGTATGCTCACGTGCCGAATAGAAGATGTTCTTTACAAGTACACTCAACATCCCGGACAGAGAGGGCGTGGCTGTGTACATCACTTCTGGTGGCCCCTGCGCTCTTAATGGGATATTGTCGTTACACAACCGTGTGATGATGCCCAAGACAGAAAGACAGCTGTCCTAACTAGAAATTTCTCACGAAAAACGCATCCTATGCGATTTCAAATGAATTATGTACTGTCTCTCCTCCTCATCAGCGCAGCTTGTACTGGTCATATGAACAATGTTCTATCATAAATGGTATGTTCAGGCAAATGGTTGGACTCGGTTGGTGTGTCGAAATAATCACATTGTAATCCAACGCCTCAGAGTAGTTCTACTCATCTACATCTGCACTTGGTTTGCTAGTACTGCTGCAATGAATTTCTCGCGTTTGTTTGAATTATCACAGGAGACTATGATTCTATGTGCAAGCAATCTCGTAAGTTCGTGAAGTGCTCCATAAGATAAGAAGGACAGACAACTTGTTTTTGTAACGCGCCATGCATTTTATGCTCTGTTAGGATTGTGCTGGGTTTTGGACGGAAATTGACTTGAACACTGACTAGATAGAGTCTAGCTCACGGTAATTGAAGCCCCAGACAAGCGCAGAGCCAATCATCTGATTCCAAAGGGAAGAGAGAGAATACATCACGCTGTGGAAAAATTCTGCAAAATGCGACCACTAGCCGAGGTTTCCTCTCCTTGATCGGTACCCTTTACCGTCTTACCTACCATCATGCCAAACTTTCCCAGAATTTCGCTTCCGAGCCGATTAGCTATCAGAAATAGCGGCTTTGCGGCCACTAAGGAAGGTATAGGGCGTACACAGGGCAGGCAAAGTCAGCAAACAGGAAAAAGTCCCCTCGTAGCAAAGAAACAACCTCTTGCTCGTCCCTGCTGCGAAATTACCTTCTCATTGCTGCTTTGATACAATGGATGGCGACACCTGGAGGGAAAGCTTAGTTTGCAGGAGCTAAACGATTTGGCTCCTCTTCTAAAAAGTCCCCTTAGGCAGCGTTCATAGTTCGCGACAGCAGCGGCGATCGCCGCGATCGCCAGTAGGAGGACCAGCTCGCCCCAAGATGGACGGAATTGAAAAACTTGTTGGAAAGGTATTTTCATGTGGTTTTTTCTTTCTCCCGCCCACTAGTACTCTCAGTGAGGGGGTTATTTGATTAATAAGTGGGGTGCAGTTAAATAATAGGCTTCTACGTAGAGATATCAGCCCGGTTTAAAATTTCACAAATTTCAAAAATGGTGAATTTTTATGAAGTGGACGGAGTCAGGGGGCGGGGCTTGGTGGCATGCGGAAGGGATCGTGGCGGCGCACACAGTGGGACGTAGTGCCCCAGGCAGACCTAATGACACACTTTGCCTGGGTACTAGGGGGGAGCGACGTGGGAGCCCGTGGGAAGCCTTGAGAAAAAGTGAAAATTTTGGGAAAAGTGGGCGGTCTCGGAGGCGGGGCTTGGTAGCAGGGGAAGACTAGGGCATGGCGGCGGGCGGTTAATGACACACTGCAGTACGTTGGTCCTAGCGCGACTTAGTGACACACTCCATCTGACGGCGGCCGGGATTCCTTTTGAATAAGGGGAGGTGAAAGGCGTTATGAAGGAGTGATGAAGTAATGGGGCGGATTCAGGGAGCGGAGTGAGGGGCGGAGTCGGGGGCGAGGTCGGGGGGAGGGTAAAGGATAAAAAGGATAAAGTCTTCGCCGTTGATCAATCCCTTTGTGGGATGCGGCACGCATTCTACTTCCATTCAGAATCGTAGTGGCTTATTGAATGCGATGTGGCCTATACAATGACTTGCGGTGGCCAGCCGATGTACAAGTCAGTGTTTTATCCTCCCAGACGAATCTGGTACCAATTCACCGTCCCCGGAGGGTAGAAGGCTTGGTTGGCCTGGGCGGGAGTCGACCCGGGATTCGAACCCGGGACCGCGCGAATGGTGAGCGCCCCACTTGTCACTACACCATCTCCGCCTCCGGGGGGAGGGTAGAGGGGGGAATGAGAGGTGAGGTACGTCGAAGAGGATTAGGCGAAGAAAGAAAAAAACCGCATGAAAATACCTTTCCAACAAGTTTTTCAATACGTCCATCTAGTTGTGTTGGGGCGAGCTGGTCCTCCTACTGGCGATCGCGGCGATCGCCGCTGCTGTCGCGAACTATGAACGCTGCCTTAGGCTGCGTTGACTTCGCGCCAGCAGCGCTTTGGTTGCGTATTCGACGTGATCGACACAGTCAAAAGCATGTGCGATCGATCGCGTCAAACAAGCTCTGCCGTCGCAAAGTATGAACGTCGCCATTGAGGAACGCGCGTCCAAGGATGGGTGATTATCTGTCGGCACTGGTCATCAGCGTTTTGGAAGAGAATGAGAGGGTCTCACACGGTGTGACTTCGTGCTGCAGTGCTATCCGCTTAACAAGATGCTGCTTGACGACGCCTAATCAGACCAACTGGGGACCTCTTATTCTTCCAAAAGCATTAGCGACTGGCGCCGATCGATATCCATCTATCCTTGAATGGGAGTAGAACCAGTAGGGCAACTGGAACGGAGAGTAATTCGAATATGTATCCAAACCAGGCAGCTCTTCCATCAGCGGTTTTCATCCTACAGTTTTCATTAGATCCTTCAGTTTCAGGTACTGTTCTCTTTGATATGCTACTCACAAACATTCTATGTATGTATCTGGCGTTCTACTGAATATCGCATTGCGTTCAAGGAACAACTATGGATTATGCTCAGACGGAAACCGAATCTTATAATCCAAGAACATCAGACTTTGAATCTTTTCACGCGTTCCGTTGCCAGCCAAGACCGTGTTCTTTAGTGAAAGGAAGATTTAGGTCTTTCACCTGGGATTGAATTCCTGATTTTTTTTATGGGCTCAGGTAGTCCAGTGGAGATTTGCACGCCTGTCGCATGCGCGGTTCGGTAGTCACATCCCGGATCGACTCCCGTTCAAGCTAACTGAGCAACCTACCCTCCGTGGACGGTTAATTGCTGCCGGGTCTGGAAGGATGAGAATACTGACCTGGACATTGACTTGCCCCACTCAACTCACTGTATAGGGCACATCGCACTCATTAAGCTACTACGGCTCTGATTGGAAGTAAAATGCATGCCGCATCCAGAAAAGGGATTGCTCAACGGCGAAAACGCTATCCCTAATGTCCTTTGATTTTTCTGACCTGAGACTTTTCTTAGAGAAATTGGTGACAAATCCTTCGCAGTGTCTAATTGAATCGTCCGTAAATTAACTATGAGGAAGGTAGTACAGTCATTTTTTGGAATAAAACCTTAACTCCGTCCACGACTCCTCTCGTTTTTCTTTACGTAATTCGTTCTTCAATCCAGTTGTGAGCTTTTGCCTGCGCTCTGAGCACAGTAGCGCTTAAGTCTCCTCCTAGTGATGATAATGTGTTCTGTCACAGCGTGATCAAATATTTATTTATTTATTCAGCACTGCCCTCAAAGTGCTCCTTACAAAAAAAAACGATCAACTACAATACACATTAGTAAAAACGAAAAGCTTAGCCAACTGACAACAACTGCACTAAATACTAATGACCCACCCGAGCGACACCTCCAGTGCAACTAGAAGTGACTAAGAATGCGACGCGCGTGACAATTGCGAGGACATCCTTATCACGACCGCTATGCAATCAGCCTCATTGCCTCCATCAGCTCATCCCTGTTGTTTATTTCGGGGATAACCGCTTGATAGCAATCGCTTCAAGTAACTTCCTTTCCAATGGGCTATCCTTCGAGCGGTGCAAAACCGTCACTTTCAGGCGGGGAGGTGCTTCATGCTGGTGAAACATCGTACAATACCGCTCCTAATTTCTGGTCAATCGACGGTTTGCGACAGATTTTTCCGTCGCAAACCGTCGTTTTGCCATAACTCCTGTAGAAATGGTCCAAATGACATGCGAGTTAGACCAACGGATAGCCCTGTACGAAACGAATTCAATGATGTACGGAGCTTCCACTTTCCTCCAATTTTTTTGACGTTTTTCTCCATGAAATTGAGGTTTGAGTCTCCAGTAACCTAAAGTGTCACCTGCGGACACGGCTACGTCGTAAACCCTCCAGTCCAATTGTGAACTTCAAACCAAGTGCCACAAAGCTATAAATACCAGCATATTCAGAAAGAGCATGATTCCGTGATCATTTTGATACTTTTCATGACAGGGTTTCAGCAAGGTTCAGCTGAAAATCATGGTTCACTGACCACTCTTTCCTTGATTTCCGGTTTGAATCGTCTTGAGGATCAGTATCTGACTTATGATCCTGGAAAGCTCTTATCGGCTCCATATAATATGATGAATGGCTTGGAAGTACAATACCCGCCGTAATTTTTGAAAAAAAAAAAACGAAAAAACGCAGATCCGCGTTTTTTTTTGCTATAACTCAATTTGTGTAAGCTTTTCTCAAATAGAACCCTATACTGTTAGACTCAGCTCGTCGATTGCAGTAGGCTGGCATCCTAAAAAACTAAAAAAGTCGAAAATTGAACTGTGCTTCCCTATCGAAGTACCTGAGGACACTCGTTAGCGAGCGAGTCTCGCTATAATTGTAACCAGAGGGTAATCGTTGGGAATTAAATCATTCAGGAATCAAATAACGTACTGTATCGCGTAAGAAGTGATTAAAAATTAGATAGTTGTGTTTCCCAAATGCTGCTGATCATTTTGGTGCCAATTTTCCTGAAAATTGAGGGGTTTCGCTCGATGTCACTTCCGGACGATATAGCCTTTTCAGTCCGGAAAATCTCGAGCTGTGGTTAGTTCGGACCACACGAGCACAACGTGCCTAATGTATGGAGCCCTGTTTTCCCTAATGTTCGCGAATTTCAAGAATGAAGTCAAAAGAAGGGTTTTTTCAACTACTTGAAATGGGCACTTCGTGCGATACTAGAACAAATGCTCGATTTTCAGCGTTTTCAAACAGGATTTCCAGCGCTCTGAGTGGCTCCACGAGTTCCGTAGGGAAGCCTTATACAGTACGTCATGTGCTTTCAAACAATTTAGGGGAAAACAGCGGCATATTTCAGGCTGGCAGTTGTTATGGGGTGCCAACTTCAAGACCATTTCAAAGCAAATTTCACATGTTTTTCATAGAAAGAAAATCCCAGTCAAAGTTACACCATTCGAATCCCCATGAAAAATGCTATCTATTCATATGAAAATCACCTCGTGGAACTTTCTACAACCTTTCGCAGTTTTTCCGGCTATCTGCCCTGTCAGCGGTCAATCGACCTCCTAAGTAATTATCCCACCAAAGTGTCAGGGCATTGATCAGTCTCTGTATTGATCAGTCTCAGTAATTTCTTCTACCAACGTGGTTCACTGTTTCGCAGAAGGTTCGTAAGGACTGCCGTTCTAGAAAATTTTTTCTTATCAAATTTGAGTTTTCATCAAATTTTCAAAAATTTCGTACTTTAATTACAAACTCCTCCACCACTGATTAATATTTGTGTTCTTAGTAACTCTCCATGATCCAACAGCACACGAAGATTTACTAAGAATCATTCTTGTACTTGATGACAATCGCATGGTTTCACGATGTGCAGGAATATTAACTGTTCAGCAGCTTTGGATTTCCGGGAATCGCAATAGTTCTGGGTTCACAAGTTATTCTGGGCACCTACTATTTTCATACATACACAAATGCAATGTAATAGTTGCTTTCTCCATCGTTATCGTTTGAATGAAGGCCTCCGATCGCAGCTGCCGTCCTCGGCGATACCTGCGCTTATTACCTTAGGACCTTTTTCGACATCGTCAACTGATTACGAGCCGAATGTGCTTGAGATTTTACAACTTGTTTGAATGGAGTGGGTCCCATTACGAGGCTCGAATAAACTATTCTTCAAAATGTTCGCCATGATTCTATTCGAAGTTCACGGTAACAGTCAAGGATTTTTGAGCTCTGCATGGTCTTATAGCGGAATCAGTTGCTTAAAGCAGTGGGGCCTAGAAAAATCTGCCGTATCGTTAGTTCTATTACGCAAGGTTTTCCAAGAAAACGAACATTAATTAATGATGGAGGAATTTGTAATTCGAAGTACGAAATTTTTGAAATTTCGATGAAAATTCAAATTTGAACTAAGAGAAACATTTTCTAGCACGGCAGTCCTCATGAACCACCTGCGAAATAGAAGACCACTTGGTGTACGAAATTATTTAGACTAATCAATACAGTGCCGTGACACTTCGGTGGGATAACTACTTAGGAGGTCGATTGACCGCTGACAGGCAGATAGCCGGGGAAAACTGCGAAAGGTTGTAGGAAGTTCATGAGGTGATTTTTACATGAATAGATAGAATTTTTCATGGGGATTCGAATGGTGTACTTTGACTGGGATTTTCTTCCTTTGGAAAAAGCGTAAATTTTGCTTTGAAATGGTCTTGAAGTTGGCACCCGATAACAACAACCAGTCTAGAATATTCCACTGTTTCCACCAAGTTGTTGAAAAGCACAGAACGTTCTGTGGGTGGCTTTTTTATGGAACATCTGGGGCCACTCAGAGCGCCGGAAATCCTGTTTGAAAACGCTGAAAATCGAGCATTTGTTCTAGTATCGCACGAAGTGCCCATTTCAAGTAGTTGAAAAACCCTTCTTTTTGACTTCATTCTTGAAATTCGCGAACATTAGGGAAAACAGGGCTCCATACATTAGGCACGTTGTGCTCGTGTGGTCCGAACTGAACCACAGCTCGAGATTTTCCGGACTGAAAAGGCTATATCGTCCGGAAGTGACATCGAGCGAAACCCCTCAATTTTCAGGGAAAATTGGCACCAAAATGATC